TGAGATCCTGTCTCAAAAAACAAAAAGAACACTGTACAAAGTGCTAGAAAAATGACTAGTTGGAAGTGTGAATCAGTTGTAGGGCAGATACTCATATGAGATTGTCTTAGTTACTATTCTCGTTGCTGAGACATAATACCTAATGCCAAAATCAAGGGAGGAAAGGTGTTTTTGGCTTATAGTCTGTAGAGGTTTCAGTCCATAATCAACTGGCTCCAAGGCAGGGCGGCCTGGCAGAGGGGCATCGCAAGGAGAAACAGTTTATGTTGGGCAGAAGGTAGCGAAGCAATCAAAGGACCTTAGCAGCCTTCTTCTGCCCCTTTTATACTCTTTTCTAGGTTACCAGGGTTAGGGTGGCACCAAACCAACCAGTGGACTGATTTAGTAATCACCCATGTTTTTGTTTTTTTTGTTTTTTTTTTTGTTTTTTTTTTCACCCATGTTTAATCCTAGCATTGCACCATGAATCAGTCACACACTCAGCCACTTTTGAAAAAGCCTCAACTATGACATAAGACTTTGGAGGGACATCCAGACACGAGCCATAACAGAGGTCATGGGTTCAATCCCCAGCACCAAAATAAATAAGTAAATAAAAAAGGTGGGACAATCAGAACAAAATGTGTAGATGTACAGGATCTTAAGGCTTCTGAAGCCAGGCATGGTGATAGAGACCACCTATAACCCTAGCAGTCTGGGGGGCTGAGGTAGGAAGATCCAACCTGGGCAATTTAGTGAGACACTGTCCCACAATTTTAAAACATTTTTTTAAGGCTGCGGATGCAGCTCGATGCAGAGGCCCTGGGTTCAATCCCCAGTACTGCAAAAAAAAAAAAAAAAAAAAAGAAAAAGAAAAAGAGCAAAGAAAGTTTAATGTTGGATTTTTTTTTTTTTTTTTTTTTTTTGATGTTGGATCTTAAAAGATGACCAAGAAACAAACATGCACAGAAGGATGCAGTTGGGACTGAATCTGTATATATGGGGTGGGATGGGGTGGAGATGTAGGTTTTTAAAAAATATTTCGGGGCTGGGGATTTAGCTCAGTGGCACAGCGCCTGCCTGGCAAGCACAAAGTCTTGAGTTCGATTCCTGGTACCAGAAAAACAAAACAAAACAAAACAAAAAAATTTCATCTCTCCCTGCTTTCCTTATCCCATATTTGGTCTGTTAAAATGAGTATTTTCATTTTCTTCCATTTTTTATTGTTTTTGTTTTTTGAGACAGGGCTTCCCTATACCGTTCAGGCTGGCTTTGAACTCAGTATGTAGCGCAGGCTGGCCTCAAACTTGGGGTGGTCAAGCTGGGTGTGGTGGCTCACACTTGTAATCCTAGCACTTGGGAGGCTGAAGCAGGAGGATCGTAAGTTCAAGGCCAGCCTGGGCTACAAAGTGAGTTCAAGTCCAGCCTGAACTGCACAGCGAAACCCTGTCTCTCTCTCTCTCTCTCTCTCTCTCTCTCTCTCTCTCTCTCTCTCTCTCTCTCACACACACACACACACACACACACACACACACACACACATCTGAATTGGGTATAAATGACAAAACTTAGGGCTTGGGATATAGCTCTGTGGCACAGTGCCTGCCTGGCAAAAGGCAAGGTTGTGAGTTCAATTCCTAGTATCAAAAACAAAACAAACAAAAAAACAATCAAACTTAGTGAAAGCTGGAAATGGTTCACACCTGTATTCCTAGCACACTGGGAGGCTGAGGCAGGAGAATCACAATTTCCAGCCCAGTCTAGGCAACCAAGGAATTTAGCAAGACCATGTCTTAAAATGTTTTTTTTTTTTTTTTCTTTTTGAGACAGGGTCACACTATGCAGTTCAGGCTGGCCTTGAGCTCACTTTGTAGCCCAGGCTGGTCTCGAACTCGTAATGATCCTCCTGCCTCAGCCTCCCGAGTGCTGGGATTACAAGTGTGCGCCACCACGCCCGGCTTAAAGTATTCCCCACCACCACCCGACCCCCGTACCGGGAATCAAATTCACGACCTCGCAGTTGCCGGGCAGACGCTCTGCCGCTGAGCTAAATCCACAGCCTTAAAATGTTTCATAAAAGGCTATGGGATATAGCTCAATGGGAAAGCCCTGGGTTCGATTCCCAGTCCAAAAAACAGAAAATAGAAGAAAAATCGTGGGCAGATTATGTTTATTTAGAAAGTAAGGCTCCACTGACAAATGTGGGCAGTGCGGACCCTAACGACACTGTCTCAGGACCATAGACACAGAGCTGGCAGTGCAGACCTGTTTTGGATTCAGTTTTCCTAGTGATGCGCGTGGCCTCAGGGCACTCGGACACTGCCTGGCCTGTAGACCCTCTTGGTTCGTGGGGCCAGGGAAAGCACACAGTTCAGAGTACAGTGAGTCACCGACTCTGCAGAGCAGTTTAAAGGTCAGCCCTCGAAAGTCAATCAGCTGCACCCTAAAAGCTGAATGGTGGCTCGTGCTCTTCCTAAGCCTGTTCCCGTGGGAGACTCGATTGCGGCTATTCCCATCTGATTCAAAAACCAGTTTGCTCTGGCGCAGACTTCCCCACAGGCCGCATTCTTGTGCATGAGCTCATTGTTTGGCTTCTTTGCCTGTGTAAATCCACAGCCACGCCAGAGTCTCAGCTCAGCCCAGCACTGGCGGCGGCTGCATTCCATTCAGAACTCCACCTCCCTCACTTGGTGGTCACGTGGCTGTGTTTATCCAAGTCAGCCACAGGTGTGCTGGGAGAGGAGCCGGCCGCGAAGGGAAGGGCCTGCACTGTGTTAAAAGAGTTTTCGACTTTATTTAGCGGTTTTTAAAAGATGAGAAGGCAGACTTTATTCGAGGGGGGCCATAGCCATAGGTATAGGTACCCCACTTCAAGGGGCTTTTGCAGTTTAGGAGAGATTGGGCTGAGTTCCCTCATTTCACTCGTTTTTTTCATGCCTGTGTGTGTGTGTGTGTTTTGTTTGAAAAAGGGTCTCACTTTATAATACAGGTTGGCCTCCAACTCACTGGTAGCTCAGGTTGGCCTAGAACTCAGGATCCTCCTGACTGGTGGTGGCATTACAGGTGTGTGCCACCATATGTGATTATATTATTTATTCTTTTGAGACAAGGTCTCACTAGGTTACCCAGGCTGGTCTTGAACTCTCAGGCTCAAGTGATTACCCTGCTTCAGCATCCTGAACAGACAGGACTACAAATACACGCCACTGCCTCTGGTTTCTCTCTTTGCTTTAAGAAACACCTTCAGGGGCTGGGGATTTAGCTCAGCGGCAAAAGCGCCTGCCTGGCATGCGCAAGGTCGTGAGTTCGGTTCCCGGTACCGGAGAAAAACCAAAAAAAAAAAAAAACAAAAAAACCAAAAAAAAAAAACAAAAACAAAAAAACAAAAAGAAACACCTTCAGTTCTGTGCCATAAAAAAGTTAATTTTTTTTTTTTTTTTTTTTGGTATCAGGAATTGAACTCAGGACCTCGTGCTTGCCTGGCAGGTGCTTGTGCTGCTGCTGAGCTAGCTCTCCAGCCCAAAGCAGTTAATGTTCTTGTCTAGTGGGAGGAACTGGCTTTGAATTTTTGCCCTCCACTCAGTAGTGTCTCCTAATGAACCGGTTATGACGCTGGGAGGAGCAGGAGGTGGCTTTCCCTGGCGCACCTGGCTCGCCCGGCTCCCTGGGCCTTTGCTCGGCTGCCGGGAGCAGCTCCCATCCTCGCCCGCCGGTGCTCGGCCCCACACTCGGTGGGACGGGAGGAGTGGGGACAGCGGGCCTCCGCGAGGATGCAGCCGTTGGGTTTCCCTGCTTTGTTCCTGAAATTTCCTGAGGGGCGCACAATTTGTTCATTTCCTTTTGAGCCTGGGAGTCCAGAGCTGAGGTCAGTCGGGGTGAGGGGTCCGGGCGGGCGCCTCTCTTCTTCCCCGATCTGCTTCACGCCCTGCAGTCAGCGCGTGCATTCCTTCCCCTCCCCTCGGCATCATTAACAAAAACAAAACTGCAGACCCGGCCTTATGCGAAGTGACGCAGTCATTTCTCAGAAATCCCGCATGAGGCAAAACAGAAAGAGGGAAACAGCTCATGTCAAAACGAGGTGTTTGTGTGTTTTGAAATGTGGCTTTGCTTTTAGCTCGTTTGTGGTGCTAGGGATGGCACCGGGAGCGGTGCGTGGGAGCACCCAGTGCCACACGAGGCCCGCGCTGAGCCGCCCGCGCCTGCGGTTCAAGGGGCGTGGGGCGCTGCTGCTTTGCCGCCTCAGAGTTCGGTGGTTGGGGTTGGGTGTGAAACGGGATGGAGGTCTCTACATTTTTCCCCCTGTTGAGCTATGTTGTGAGCAACGTCAGGGCTGAGTGAAAGAAAAACGTGTAATACTGTGTAGGTAAGAAGTTAGTAAGAAGTTCCAGATAAAGATTACTTTTATAAAAAAGATGCAAATGTAATCCTTCTGTGTGAACATATTAATACACAATTTTGAGCTTGCCCTACTAGAGAAAAAGATCTGTCTCAGTAATTTTTTTCAAAATTTTTTATTTTAAAGAGTGAAAGAAGGATAACATGATAATGGGGGAGCTTACCGAATTACAGACAAAGCGGTAGGAAATTATCAATGGTTATTGTTTGTCTCAGTAATTTTTATTACTTATTTTTCTTGGGTTTTTTGAGGGTCTCACTATGTATGCTAGGCTGGACTGGAACAGTGATCATCCTGCCTCAGCTTCCAAGTGCTGAGATTATAGGTGTATGCCACCATGGCTGTCTGTATGTATGCACATATGTATGTATTTTTTGTGATACTGGAGATTGAAGTCAGGACCTCTGCAATGAGTTGCATCCCCACCCCTGTTTTTTTATTTGAGTCAGAGTTTCCCTAAATACCTAAACTGCTCAAAATGGACTTGAATTTGTGATCTTCCTGCCTCTGCCTTCCAGAATACTGTGATTACAGGGGTGTGCCTCCACACCTGGCTTAAGTA